TATAAAAGGAAGGCCTGTAAATACAACGATTATTCAAGTATAGACACCAAGACTAGAGCAAAAGATGAAGAAACAGAAGATTTTTACCACTTTTGCAGTCTGAAATTGATTGAACATGCAATCAACAGACATTAATAATAATTGGTGACTGGAATACAAAAACTAAGATCAAAGAAGAAGAAATGGTAGTTGGAAAGTAAGGACTTGGTAATAGAAATTACTCTGGAGATCAATAGAATTTTGTCCAACAATGATTTACTCATTGCAAATATCTTTTTTAAAAAAAACCCCATAAACTTCTACTATACACATGGACCTCACTAGATCGACCACCCAGGAATCAAATTGACTGTATCTGTAAAAAGATTCCATGTAGAAGTTCAGTACTGGTAGTTAACATAAGGCCAGGGACAAATTCAAGTTGAAGGTAAAGAAAATGAAAACAAGTCCACAAGAACCAAAATATGACCTTGAGTCTATCTTAACTGAGTTTAAAAGCCATCTCAAGAATAACTTTGACACCTTGAACACTTATGTTTGTTTTGATCGACAACCAATCAGATGACAATCAAGGACACCATTCATGAAGAAAGCAAAAGTTCTTTACAACTCAGAGGAATTAAGAGGGATACCATTGCTGATAAATCTTGATTGAAAGCAAAGAACACCAGAAAGTTGCTTATTGACTATGAAAAGGCATTTGACTTTGTGGATCATAGCAAATTATGAGTAACATTGGGGGGCGGGGAATCCCAGAGCTTAAGTAATAGTGCTCATGTGAAACATGAAGTTAGACCAAGAAGTACTTGTTTGAGCAGAACAAAGGAACACTTCATGGTTTAAAATCAGGAAAGGTGTGATATAGGGTTTTCTTCTTTTTCTATGCTTATTCAGTCTGCATGCTAGCAAATAATTTGAAAAGTTAGATTATTTAAAGAAACATGTAGTATCAAAATTGGAAGAAAACTCATGAACAACCTTTGCTATACGGGTGACACAACCTTGCTTGTAGAAGTGAATAGGACTTGAAGCATTTACTAGATAAGATCAAAGAATATAACTTTCAATATGTATTATACCTAAACATCAAGAAAACAAAAATTCTCACCACTGGACCAGTAGGCAAATATTTAAGTTGTTAATAACTCTTACTTGAACTCACAATCATTCTATGGTAGCATTAGTCAAGAAGTCAAAAGAAGGATTGGAACGAATGGATTGCGAAGTTGTAGTACATTCACATAATGGAATACTACGCAGCACTACTATGCAATCATTTTGTAAATTACTACCTAACTTGGGAGAGACTGGAGAGCATTATGCTAAGTGAACTAACTCAGTCCCACAAGGACAAATACTTTATAAAACCGTTATTGTAGAGTGAGTATGAGGAGCCAAGGCAGGTATGGGGGGAAGGTGGAAATAGAGGGGTGAGGATGGGAGGCATCGGGTATTAGTCATAGGGTTACACAATTTGACGGTGAGTGGGATAAAGAAAAGAGGAAGGATCTTTTGTGAAAAACAATGTATTCAAACTTTGTAAATAAATCAGAGTTGTTGTTGATTGCCTTTGAGTCAAGCATGACTCATAGCTCATAGCAACCTTATGAACAAAAGGCCTGAAGCCCCTCTACAACTATCGACATTTTTCAAAGTTCAGAGTTTCCAGAGGCAGGTTGTTTAGGAAGTGGATGTCACTCCTGCTTCCAAACCTGTCATAGTAATTAGAGTAATATAAAAAAAAATTTTAAAGGTATTTACAAGGGGAAAAAATGGTGTATTGGAAATATTTACTGTCAAGGACCTTACTAAGTAGTGTGCTAAAGAGCAAGGTTGACAGTTTAAAGACTAAGGTGTGCCTGATTCAGGCTATAGCATTTTCAATTGCTTTCTCTGTATCTGAAAGTTGAACATAGAATGATTGTTGAGTCCAAGTAAGAGTTATTAACAACTTAAATATTTGCCTACTGGTCCAGTGGTGAGAATTTTTGTTTTCTTGATGTTTAGGTATAATACATATTGAAAGTTATATTCTTTGATCTTATCTAGTAAATGCTTCAAGTCCTATTCACTTCTACAAGCAAGGTTGTGTCACCCGTATAGCATAGGTTGTTCATGAGTTTTCTTCCAATTCTGATACTACATGTTTCTTTAAATAATCTAACTTTTCAAATTATTTGCTAGCATACAGACTGAATAGGCATAGAAAAAGAAGAAAACCCTATATCACACCTTTCCTGATTTTAAACCATGAATAAGGATGTCAGAAGAAGAACCAATGCCTTTGAATTATGGTTTTGGACAAGAGTACAGAATACCCCATGGACTGACAAAAGAACAAATAAACAAAAAAGTGCAAGCAAGTAAAACTTGGTCTCAAGTATTTTTGGCATGTTGTCAGGAGAGATTAATCCTTAGAAAAAGTCATCATTCTAGGAAAGGTGAAGGGTCAGAGAGAGAGAGAGAAAGATCCTCAACAAGATGGAATGTCATGACTAACAATGGGTTGCAGCATGTCAGAGAAATTGAGGGTGGTGCAGGGTAGTGGTTCAGTCTGTTGCACATAGGGTTGCTATAAGTTCTAGATGACTCACTGGCACATAACAACTCTCTGCTATTTACAAACCTAGTCAAGTTTTTGTTGATAATTTTATAAAACCCAAACCTAAATCCACTGCCATTAAGTCCAGTCTGACTCCTGGCTACCCTGTAGGACAGAGTAGAACATCTCTGTCTTTATGGAAGTGATTTGCTACATCTTTCATTTGTGGAGTGGCTGGTGGATTTGAACTGCCAAACTTTTGGGCAGCAGCCAACCATTTTAACCACTGTGCTGCTTATATTTATTTAAATGTTATGTATGCTTTCTCCAGCATACCTGTGAATTTTTCTAAGGCATTGGCTTTTAAAAAATATTTTTTAATTTTGTCATTGATGTTTCTGAGGATACCCACGACATACATAGCAATGGAGGTTGATGTGTCAGAATCAATGAGACTGGCTCAGGATAGAGCAGGCTTCAGAGCTGTTGTACATAGGTTCACAATGAGTCACAGGTGACTTGTTATCACCCAACAACAACAACAACAATACCAATTCAACAGCTTCTACCTGTTTAGTTCAGTGACATTGGTTTTATCAATAAAGTTGTGCAACCTTTCTTATTCTCTTTCTCTTTTTTCAGTTGAGTGTCCCTAATTAACATGAATTCATTACGTCCTAAATTTCCTAACCAGTCTTTCAAGTTGCTATTGTCACTTTGATCTCATGTAGGTAGTTCTTTAAAAGACATACTGCTAAAACTAGATCTTTTCCAATTGTTAGGCTGAACAATTATTTGGTTTTAAGAAAGAATGTTGATTTTAGACATGGAACTACCAGAAGTTCAAGCAGGATTGAGAAGAGGCCATGGCTCCAGGAATATCATTCTGATGTCAGATGGATCCTGGCTGAAAGTAAAAAATACCAGAAGAGTGTCTATTTGTGCTTTATTGACTTTCCAAAGACCTTTGACTCTGTGGATCATAGTAAGTTGTGACTGACATTGAGAAGAATGGGAGTCCCAGAGCACTTGATTGTGCTCATGTGGAACCTATACCTGGACGGGGAGGCTGTTTTGTGAACAGAGCAGGGAAACATTGTATGGTTTAAAATTAAGAAGGGAGCACATTAGGGTTGTATTCTCTCTCCATACCTATTCAGTCCGTATGCCGAGCAAATTATCTGAGAAGGTGGACTCTATGAAGAGATAGATGTGTGGCATCAGGATTGGAGGGAGACTCATCAAATAACCTGCATAAAGCAGATGGCACAACCTTGCTTGCATAAGGTGAGGAGGACTTGAAGCACTTGTTGCAGAGGATCAAGGAAAGCAGTTGTCAGTATGAATTACATCTCAATGTCAAGAAAACAAAATTCCTACCACTGAACTGATAGGCAACATCATGATGAAAGGAGAGAAGATTGAGACTGTCAACAGCTTCATCTTGCTTGGACCCACAATTAACACTGTTGGTACCAGCAGTCAGAAAATAAGGAGAGACATTGCACTGGGGAAATCTGTAGTTAGGGGCCTCTCTAGATTATTGAGGAGTAGTGATGTCAGTTTGAGGACTAAGGTGCATCTGATTCAGGCCACAGTCTTTCTGATCACTTGCTATGCATCTGAAAGCTGGACAGTGAATAAGGATGACAGAAGACTTGATGCCTTTGAGATGTGGTGTTGGAGAAGAGCCCCGAACATCCCATAGATGGCCAGAAGAGCAAATAAATATGTCTTGGAGAGGGTGCAGCAAGAATGTTGAGGCTTTGTCTCACATATGTTGGGCATGTTGCTAGGAGGGGGCTATTCCTTGGAGAGGGACATGATGGTAAGAGGGTCAGTGAAGGAGAGGAAGATCCTCAACCAGGTGGATTGACACAGTGACTCTTGCAATGGGGTCTGGTGTGTCAGGATGTGTGAGGATGGCACAGTATAGAACAGGGTTCAGATCTTTTCTTGAGATTGCTATAAGTCTTACTCAACTTGACAGCACTAAACAATAAAATTGGTTTTTACTTGATTTTTAATTTCCTCCACTAAGTGTAAATCTTAACACTTTGAAAATACACAACATAATTTTTTAATATTTTAAGTATATTACAGTTATTGATATATAAATGGCATGTATAAGCCTGGGACACTAAAGGAATGGTGTGTAATTGCTAATAGGTTGGGGTTTCATTTGGGAATAGCTCTGAAATGAGATAATAGTGATGGTTTCATAACCTTCTGAACATTTAATGTACTTCTTGTTTTTCTATTTATCAATTGATGGCCATTTCAAGATTGTCTGTATTTTTGGAAATTCTTAATAATGCAATTATGAACATTCATGTACAAGTTTTAAAAAAATTGTTAAAAATATAACATTTTTGAGCCACAAATAAGTGAATAGATGAAGACATACATTTCATCATGTGTCCTCTAGCATGAATATTTATTTTCTTTTCTTGCACAGGACTGGGTCGGATCGTCCAGGCTGAGGAATATCTCTCCCAGGCCCAGTGGACTGTGCTCAAATCAACTGAGTGCTGCAATGCCACCCACTCTTTATTGCATCGCAACCTGGGACTTCTCTATATGGCTAAAGAAAACTATGCAGAAGCCCGTTACCATTTGGCCAATGATGTAAACAAGCTAAATATTAACATTTGGATGTTACCAAGAACAGCTCTGCTTAATTTCTGTTTATTTGTGTTGCTTTACTAAGAATCACTTCAAAACTTTCTATTTGCAGATGACCACCTGGTATGTTGTTGCTATGTGCTGTTGAGTCGCCTGGAACTCATAGTGACTCCATGCACAACAGCTCTGAACCCTGTCTTACCCTGAGCCAACCATTGTCTCTGACAAAACTGCCCCCATAATCCTAGTTACTGTGTCAATCCTTCTCATTCGGGGTTTTTTTCTCCTGCATTGGTCTTTCACCCTTCCAAGCATGAAACGCTTTCCAGGGACTGGTCCCTACTGGCAACATGCCCAAAGTATGTGAGACAGAGCTTCAAAAACCTTGCCTTCAATGAGTAGCTTGGTTTCACCTTCTTCAGGATATATATATATATATATTCAATACCCTTCTTTAGCACCACAACTCAAAGGCATTGATTCTTCTTCTATCATCCTTAGTTATTGTCCAGTTCTCTGATATGTAGCAAATATTTGCAAAGATTATAGCCTGGATCAGGCACACATTAGTCTCTAGTCTGACATTATAGTTCTTCAGTACTCTGCAGAGGTATAAGACAGCAGATTTACCTAATGCAATTCGTCTTTTGATTTCCTGACTGCTTGCACCAACATTGTTGACTGTGGAATTGAATAACCTGAAATTGTTAACAATCTCAATTTCTTCTCCATCTCTCATGATGCTGCCGGTTGGTCAAGTGGTGAGAATCTTCGTTTTCTTGCTGTTGAACTTCAGTCCATATTGGAGATGGCAACCCTTGATTTTCTTCAGCAAATGCTTCAGCTCCTCCTCAGTTTCCACACTTGAGGTGTGTCATCTGCATATTGCAGGTTGTTGATGAGTCTTCTTCCAATACTGATGCTACATTCCTCCTCTTGCTGAAGCTTCCCGAGTGTGATCTGATCTGCAGACAGATTGAAAATGTATGGAGACAGGATGCATCGCTGACACACTCCTTTCCTGATTTTGAACCATACAGTTTTCCCTCGGTTATAACAAGTGTTTCCAGGTCCAAGTATAGGTTTCACATGAGCACAATTTAGTATTCTGGGATTCCCATTCCTTTCAAGGTTAGCCACAATTTGTTTTGATCCATATAGTCAAATGCTTTTGCATAGTCAATGAAGCACAGATACAAGTGTTAGCAATAATATAATTTAATAATAATATAATTACAACCACCTGAATTCAAGCCTTTTTCCTTTCTGACTGCATGACCTAGACTTTTATGCAAACTTCCCCCTCCCCAAATTTCATTTGCTCTGAGAGTATAATAAAGGAGAGAGACCAAAGTATTGGTTAAGAGAAGAATTTGCATGAAGACTTGCCCTGTTGTTACTAGTCACATAGCTTTGGACAAATTATTTAACTACATCACTTGTCATCACCAGAGACAGAAATATAATCTCTGTTTGTCTGGATTATTGCAAGATTAGCAACAGAACAATACACACAGAGCACTTTGGCTACTGTTTTTATAAATAATATTAGTGGCTACTTCAAAGAGTGGCTATTAAATTTAAATGAGCTGGTATGTATAAAACTGCTTTATACACTTTTAAATGTTATAAATATTAAATAGGATGATGAAGTTATGATTGGGTTGTTCTTCTAGACTGTTAGAATTTCAGCACTGGGCAATATTATCCAGAGTCTGAAATCTGGGTTAAGTCAAAGTCTAAAGTGTTCTCTTTATTGCCTTCTCACTGAACCGTTCTTCCTCTTCCTGTCAGAGCACAGTGGCCATCAACTCACCAGAAATATGCTAGTGCTGGCTCGTCTCTATATTCTGTTGTCTCAACTCTGACACTTAGGAGACTGACATCCATAGACTAGACAATCTGGAGTGTCCTGGGTTTAGGGACTGGGAAGTGTGCAGAGCCATGGAAGATGGAGGAAGGAGAGATCAGGGTATTTATGCTCTCTGTAATCTCTCTGCTCCACCCCACTTACGGTGATGACAATGCTCTTCCACGATTACAGTTCCTGTCAGGTGGCTCTCTTTCATGGTTCTTGCTCTTACCAGGCACTTTTTGGACTAGAAGTGGTAATAATATTCTGCTGTCTGTGGTAGCCCTTAGCTGTATCACTAGCTCTTATTGAATCCCTAATCTTGTAATTTCTTTGTAAAGAATCAATTCATTATCTTCTTTTACCCCTTTGAGGGTGCCATTTTCTTCTACCTGGAACCTTGGCTGATATAATTTTTTACTTTTGCTTCCTTTCTATACTCTACAGTATCCAAACATGTTGTTATATGTGCCATCAGTATGACTCATAGCTGACCCTCCAATGGGTCAGAGGCATTAAATTACATGGAAGGAGATTTCTGATCCTTCTCCCACAGAGCAGTTGGTGTATTTGGTCTTCATACCTTTGGGGTTGCAGCACACCTTGTCTAACTAGAGAACTAGACTTTCCTATCCAACCAAAGGCATATGCTGTCCATATCCAACCATATGCCTATCCAACCAGAGACATATTCTGTCTTGGGCAAACTAACACAGTTAAGAAGGCGGCCAAGCTCAAATTCATCAGATTTACTTTACAAACAATAACAGTTTTACTGATACCCTGAAATTGACCAGTTTTAAGAAGTCAATTCAATGCCTTCTCATCAGTTTACAGACTTGTTACTGAATACAAAGGATTCTTTCCTTAGTCAATTGCCAGTAAGACAGAGGGATTGCAATATACAAAGTACATTTCTGTACATCAGGGAGAGCAGAGAGAATTCTCTCAAAACCTTCCTCTCTGTCTAAGAGCGGTCATAGGCTGTTACACTTGGATTAGGTGTTAAGTTAAAGAATTTTTACATTCAAAAAGAACTGTTTACATACAGTTACTAGTAAATAGGCAATTTGTGATATAGTTTACATATGACTAAGAAAATACTGTTTCAAAAGGTAAATGCTAATCCAGGAAAGGTGTTTCCTCTCCTAATAAACAGACAATTGAAGGTACAGTTTACACATGAGAGAAGTTTCAAAGAGATAAATGTTAATCTAGCAAAAATTCTTGTCCCCTCCTGGTAACTGGCAGTTTAAAGTATTTTACATGTCTAAAGAAAGAGTGATGACAGTGCTCTTCCATGATCACTGTTTGTCTGGTGGCTCTCTTTCACAATTCTTGCTCTTACCAGGCACTTTTTTTGGACTAGAAGTTTTAATACCAAGGATTGCCAAGAGAACAAACAAGTATATTCTCTTTTTTTTTCCAGCTAGTTTTGTGTTTTATTTATTTAAGTTCAGGCCTTGACTGCATATTCCCGCAGTGGGTACAGGCGCTCTTTTCGCTGCTGCTTTTTGGTCTTCAGATTCTCCTCATGCTTGTTGAGCCTTCGGCGCATGGCACGTATTTTCTTGGGCCGCAGATCGAGGGGTTTGTACTTCTTGCCCTTATAGTATTTTCTGAGGTTCTCCTTCTGAGTCTGGTTAATAACAGTGAGAACACGGGCAATGGATTTTCGGACAACTCGGATTTTGGAGAGCTTAGAAGCCGCACCGCCTGTCACTTTGGCGACGCGCAGCTGGGAAAGCTCCACCTTCAGATCGTCCAGCTGTTTTAACAGCTCCTCCTTCTTCTTTCCGCGACGGTCCCGAGCCTTGATTTTGGCCATGGCTGAGCGATAGAACCTCAAACAAGTATATTCTAAAGAGGGTGAGAACCAGGCTGCTCCCTGGAGGCAAGGATTTTGAAGCTCTGTTCCCACATACTTTGAAAATGTTGCCAGGAAGGACCAGTCCTTGGAGAAGGACATCATGCTTAGAAGGGTAGAGAGACAATGCAGGCGAGAAAGACCCCAGATGAAATGATTTGACACAATAACTGGGATAATGGATCAGAGACTGTGATATTGGCTCAGAATAGTAAAGGGTTCAGAGCCATTGTACATTGTTGTTGTTATGTGCTGTTGAGTTGCCTGTAACTCATAGCTACCCTAGGTATAACAGCTCTGAAGCCTGCCCTGTCCTGAGCCAGTCTCACTGACTCCAATACATCTACCCCCCATTACCCAGTTACAGTATCAATCCATTTCATCCAAGATCTTCCTTTCTGCATGGTCCCTCCTTGCCATGTGCCCAAAGTATGTGAGACATACCTTCATAATTCTAGCCTCCAAGGACAAACTTGGTTTCAACCTCTCCAAGACTGACCTCTTTGTTTTCTTCACGGTCTATGGTATGTTCAATGTTCTTCTCCAGCACCACAACTCAAAAGCATTGATTCTTCTGTCATTGTCCATCTGTTTGATGCACAGCAAGTAATTGTGAAGACCATGGACTGGATCTGGCGCACCTTAGTCTCTAGACTTGGTCTCTCTTGTATTTAGGGTCGCTATGATGGCACTTAGCAACAAACAACAACTATTTTAAGTATATAATTCAATATCTTTTAGTCAATTTACAGAGTTTTACAATCATTAGCACATTACCGTTGTAGAGCTGTAAAGATGAATCCTATATTTCCAGTTGCAGCCTTTCTTATTCCCAGTTTTAGCCTCACGCAACCATTGTCCATCTTTATGTTGTTGTTGTTGTTGTTGTTATTGGCCTTGTGTCAGAACTGACTCACAGCTGACCCTCTAGTGGGTTATACACTTATTAACCATTTGTATGCCTTCTTTTAGGAAGTAGGAATGGCATCCACTTCCTAAACAACATGCCTCTGGAAACTCTATGAACTTTGATAAACGGTGATAGTTGTAGAAAGGCTTCAGGCCTTTTGTTCATAGGGTCACTTTGTGTTGGCAATCAACAACAATAGCAACATCATGCCTTCTTTGGAGAAATGTCTATGTAAAGATTTTTCCCATTTAAAAAAAAATTAGGCTGTTGTCTTCCTTTATTGAGTTGTAAAAGTTCTTTATATATTCCAGATACAAGTCTTTTATTGGAGATGTATATATAAAAGGAATTTAAGTCTTGCCTCCTTCTTCCTATTTAGATATACTTTGCCAGCTGTGCCTTTGGAGTAGAGGACATCAGAACATCAGGAGGTTATTTCCACTTGGCTAACATCTTCCATACCCTAAACAAATTGGAACAGGCAGACACACTATATACCAAGGTGAATGGGGAACATGGGAGTTGAAATTTGACACTTGGACTTGGTATTTTACAACTAATACTAGATCATTCATAAGGAAATTGAATCAAAGAAATGTTGGGATCAGCCCATGGTCAAACATACTTAATTTCTCTTTCTTTCTGTTTCTCTACTTCTTGTTGTTGTTGTTATGTGCCATCAAGTCGCTTGCGACTCATAGCGACCCTATGTACAACAGCCCTAAACTCCGCTCTGTCCTGTGCCAATCGCACTGCCTCTGACACTCCCATCCCAATTACCCCAGTCACTGAATCAATCCACCTCATAGAGGGCCTTCCTCTCCTGTGCTGTCCCTCCACCCTCCCAAGCATGATGTCCCTCTCTAAGGACCGGTTCTCTACTAGTCCTTGGAATTCACAATTCACATAGTGATTAACAAATAATGAATTACAGGCCAGTAAAAATCAAACTCCTCCCAAACAGACTGTTATATGCTTGTTCACACCCATAGGAGCAAGCTAATGTGAGCATATTAGGGTATGAGACTGGCATGAGGGTGTCAGGATCTGACATCCACTAACTTCACAAGGAGACGGTGGATTCCCAAATAACACAAAACCTATTCCTTGAAGCCTGACATGCCCCCATGGTCCTGTAACTTTTTGAAAAGTACAAACTCACTAGTCCAGAAGCAACATTAGCTTAGTGTATAGCAAGGGGGCTGAGGTCCAATTGGTGTCAGCCCTGAACAAAGAGGAATAGGATAATTTACCCATTCTATGTTGGGGATAGTCACAGCAATTTGAAAGGCCGGAGGCCATGGGCCATAAAATTTTGTGTAGGGGTAAACATTAATCAGGATTTTTACTATTTCCTGAAACACAGGGACATATTTGGGTAGAATCAGAAGGTCAGCAAAATGGAATATAACCTTGGTTTCAACCTTATACTTCTGTCCACTCTGACATCAGCCTCTGGGCCCACTAACCCATTGCAATGACCACACAAAACTCACAGATAATACTCATGATTATGGAGTTTAGAGAGTGACGGGTTACAAATCAGGTTGAAAACAAGACACAGTTCTTGAGTCAGTACAGCTTTTTGGACATCCAGGCTTTGTGACCTTCAGTGTCACAACTTTGGGCCAGTGTTTACAAAGTTCTTTTAATCCTGCCAATTATGGTAAACCTGATGGTAAACCCTCCAGTAAACCTGATGAAGGCCCTCAGCTCTGGCTCTTTGGGACAGCAGTTCTCTATCTCATTGCTGGTCTGGTCTGGGTCTCCATCACCTGGGAATCTTTGTCCTAAGAGGACGCACTGCCCTTTCCTCTTCTTTCTTGATGGTACTGAGAATCCCATTTTCTGTCTCTAAACTTGCTCAATTAAAGCCTCGTGGGATGTCACAACTGACCATTCCCCTCAGTAGTATTATACCCCACTTGGTTGCATGTTCCCACTCAGAAGTTGCTATTTATTTACCTTTTTTACATTATTAGCATGTTATCCAATCCTCTTGGATAAAAACCCATTAAGCATAAAACCCCATTGCTTCCAAATAGAAAGTGACTCATAACTGACCCCCAAGTGGGATTTCAGAAGTTGTGAATGTCATGAGCAGAAAGTGCCCGTCTTTCTCCTGTGGAGCAGCTGGTGAATTCAAATTGCTTGCCTCTGGGTTGGTTGTGAACACAACTCCTTACGCACTAGGCCACCAGAGCTATCAATTATCCATCCTTGTGGTGAGATTCAAAGAAAATTACTAGAAAACGACATTAAACAATCCACCATAGCACAGATGGTATAGGACAGATTTTTAGGAGAAGTTCATTTTTGAAGGATCTTGGGGATCATAGAACATTAGAGTACTTGAAAATTTCCATCTTTACTTACTGTGGTTGTTGTTGTTAGGTGCTGTCAAGTTGCCTGCGACTCATAGCAACCCTATACACAACAGCTCTGAAGCCTGCCCCGTCCCGAGCAAGTCTCACTGACTCCAACACACTTAATGCCATTGCCCTAGTTACTGTCAATCCATCTCATCTGGGATCTTCCTCTCTTGCTCTGTCCGTCCACCCTTCTGAGCACGATGCCCCTCTCCAAGGACCAGTCCCTCATGGTCATGTGCCCAAAGTATGTGGAAAGTAGCTTCAAAATCCTAGCCTCCAAGGAGAAACTTGGTTTCACTCTCTCTAAGACAGATTTGTTTGTTTGGGGTTTTTTTTTCTCTCTCTCTTTTTTTTATTAGTTTTAATGAAAATTTACAGAGATTTTGGGTTTTCATTCAATCATTGTTGCACTATTTTCTCTACCCTCCTCCCCAGTTCGTTCTTCTTTTTCCCCCCCTTGAATGTCTATTTGTTTTTTTGATGGTCCGTATTCAAGACTCTTCTCAAGCACCACAATTCAAAAACACAAATTTCTTCTTTTGTCATCCTTAGTCACTGTCTAGCTCTCTGATGAACAGCAAGTAATTACAAAGACCTCTAAACTATTTCCAGTTAAAATGTCATCTATGTTCATAAAGGTACAGTTCATCTATTAGGAAGTCATTTAGCAAGCAGTCATTTCTATGTGTGATAGGGGTTGTCACGCTGTAACTACTGAATCTTTTTTGGACCCAAGTCTCTGAAAGGTGCATTATGGTATAACAGAGAAATAATGGACTTTGATCTCAAACAGAACCAAGTTTAAATCCTAGATGTGCCACTAATCAATTTTACCAGAAGTCAAATGTGATCTTAACTCCTCTGAGGCTTAATTTATTTATCTGCAAAATGTTAATAATATTACTTGAGAAGCTGTGGGGCTCTGATTATGGCCTGACTGTGAAGGTTTAGCATTATATATGCTCAGCGAATGGCAGTCATTGCTACTTAACTCCATCAGGGCTTCCTGAAATATACCTAGCACATGGCCTGTGAAACCCATCACTGATCACACTAACATAGGCTAAGTCTCTTGTGGCCTCTTCCCTCTGCTTTTAGGTATAGTTAGAAAGTGAGGTTCCAGACTTTTAGGAAATGTGACTGGTTCAATGGCCACATTTGTATCTGATTCTCTAAATGCCATCTCTTTCCCAACAGGTCACTGAAATCTGGAACAACTATTTGAATAATTACTATGAAGGCCTCTCACGGTCTCGCCTCCAACAAATAGATTTACTGGGCAAACAATTTGAAAATGATACTGGCTTAGGTAAGTGACAGCTTTCCTAATGAAACAAAGAGTGACTTCATCCCACTTAATACATAGGTCTTTCTCATAGGAGAAAGAGCAATTGTCTTTGTTACAAAGGACGTCACTGTTATTTTCCCCTTTTGCTGGTAGGGAAAATTGGGACATGAGATCAAAAGATATTTTACCAATATTGGTCACAATTCAGAGCCTTAGAATCAGAAACAGGCTTTTGATGTGTCAGTAAGGGAAAGACTTGAAGAAGGAAAAAACCTTGCCCAAGATCCCTGTAATTTCTACAGCATTATCCTGTTAGGTCACATGAGACAGATTTTGTGCTTGTAACAGATTTGGGGGTAAAGGGCTGGCACTGAAGAATTTCAAGAAACAACACATGATCAAGAAGTAATGGTGATGAAGGAGGAAGTTCAGACTGCTCTAAAGGAATTTACAAAAAACAAGGCCTCAGGAATTGATGGAATACCAACTGACATATTTCAACAAAACAGGTGCAACCCTGGATGTGCTCACTAGATTGTGCCAAGAAATTTGGAGGACAACTACCTGGTCAACTGACTAAGCGAGATCCGTGTTTATTCCCATTTAAAAAAAAGGTAAACTAAAAGAGTGCAGAAATTATTGAACAATATTGCTAATATCACATGCAAGCAAAATCCTGCTGAAGATTATCTAAAAATGACTGGAACATTTTTTAACAGAAACTACCAGAAATATAAGCTGAGTTTAGAAAAGGTTGTGGCATTAGAGACATAATCGCCAGTGTTAGATGAATCTTGACCAAAGACAAAGAGAACCAGAGGAATGTCAATCTGTGTTTCATTGACTATGGAAAGACGTTTAACTGTGTGGATCACAGCAAATTGTGGTTAACCTTGAGGAGAATGGGAATCTCAGAACACTTGACTGTGCTCATGTAAAATCTACACTTCAGCCCAGGAAGCAGTAATCAGAATAGAGCAAGGAAACACTCCATGCTTCAAAATCAGGAAAGGAGAGCATCAGGGATGTGTCCTGTTTCCATATCTTTTCAGTCTGGATGCAGAACAGATCATTTGGGAGTTTGGGCTTTATGAGGAAGAATGTGGCATCAGGCTTGGAGGAAGCCTCACTAACAACCTGTGTTATTCAGATGACACAACTTTGCTTGCTGAAAATGAGGAGGACCTGAAACACTTGCTGCAGAACGTCGAAGACTGTAGTCTTCAATATGGACTGAAGCTCAACATTAAGAAGATAAAGATTCTTACCACCAAGCCTATTGGAAACACCCTGATAGATGGAGAAGAGATTGAGGTTGTTAACAATTACAGCTTGCTAGACTCCACAATCAATACTCTTGGCACCAGTAGTCATCAAAAGCAAATTGCACTGGGAAATTTACTGTCAGAGACCTCTCCAGAGTACTGAGAAGCAACAATGACAGTCTGGTGACTAGGTGTGCTGAATCCAGGCCATGGTCTTCATAATTACTTGCTATTAATCAGAGAGCTGAGCAATGACTAAGAATGACAGAAGAATTGATGCCTTTGAGTTGTGGTGCTGGAGAAGAATATTGAACCATACCATGGACAGCCAAGAGAACAACCAGGTCTGTACTAGAGAAGGTGAAACCAAGTTTCTCTTTGGAGGCTAAGATTTTGAAGCTCTTTCTCACATACTTTGGGCACATGGCCAGGAGGACCAGTCCTCAGAGAAAGACATCATGCTTGGAAGGGTGGAGGAACAGCACAGGAGAGAAAGACTCTGGTTGAGATGGATTGATATAGTATGTGAGACAATGGGGGTAGAGGTGTTGGGGTCAGTGAGACTGGCTCAGGATAGGGCAGGGTTCAGAGCCATTGTAGATAGGGTCATTATGAGTTGCAGGTGACTTGATGGCACATAACAACAACAACAGAACCTTTGTGCCATAATAAAAACAGTTTTCTGTGAGAACAAATTATAACACAAGATAAGTCCTAGAATAAAGAGGGAAATTGGATAGTACTGAAGAAGAAAAATTTATTGGAGAAAGAAATTTTGATAAAGATTTTTGGAGAAAATAATTTGGTGAAGATTTTTGTTGTAGTTGTGTACCATAGAATAGGATCCAACAGGCACGGGAGGAGATTGCCCCTTCTTCTCCAGAGGAGCATCTGGTAGATTTGAACTGTGCACCTTTTGGATTGCAGTACAGCTTCTTGCCACTAGGCTACCATAGCTCCCTTTGGTGAAGATTTTTTTAAATAATAAATTAAATGCTGTTTTTCTCATCACGAAATTAGTTCATATGAAGTAGAAAACATGTAAATCAAAGACTAACATAAAAGAAAAAATATTTTCATCCATAGATATCCAAAGACATAATAGCCAAACCCATAATAGCCACCTGAACATTATGGTATGTCCATTCTGGGTTTTTCTGTTTGGGTTTTTTCCCTAAGCTTAAAATCAAACCAAAACAAACCCAATGTTGGCATAGTGATGCTTACTCATAGTAACACTATACAATAGGGTATTGCTGTTGCTATTGTTGTTATGTTTTGTTGAATTGCCTGCAATCATTGCCTTCAAGGAGAAACTTGGTTTCACCCTCTCCAAGACAAACCTATTTGTTTTCTTGGTGGTTCATGGTATGCTCGAGACTCTTCTCCAAGCACAACTTGGAGAACACAACTCAAAGGCATCAATTCTTCTGTCATCTTTAGTCACTGTCCAGCTCCTTTCAATACAATGTTTGTCTGTCAGATACTGTTTGAAAGCTAAACATCCAAATTAAGACAGACTAGAAAGAAGGAGTGACCATCCACTTCCAAACTATAACAGGCCTATAAAAACCCTGCATACAGTAGATCACATTTAAAGTAGAATAACAGATATGGCAACTGAGGCTGAGCCTTCAATTTGGAAACACAAAGGAGGAGGAACAGTTGTAAGCAGACACCAATGATTGGAACATAGAATGTGAGAAGCATGAATGTTGGAAAACTGGACATTGTTAAGAAAGAAATGGAACACATAAATATTGACATGTTAGGTACTGGCAAAATGAGGTGGATTGGCACGGGACATTTTGAATCAGACAAACAAGGTGGAACTGCCCAATAAAGTTTCCAAGGTCATAATATTTACCAAAGCAGACTTTGCTCTCAGAGAAGCTGGTAAGTTCAAACTGTGGATGTTCAGGATGGGAGAGACAAGAGTTTAACCACGGTTCGCATAGATTCTGCCAGCTTAATATTTCTTTAACTATTTTTAATAATTTACCCTTTAATAACTGCTCAATAATGGGCTTTTAAAGCAAGTTCAGATTGATACTGAAAAAAAAATTAAAGTCCACAAGAACCAAAATACAACCATATGTCTATCTGAATTTAAAACCATCTCAAGAATACATTTGATATACTGAACACTAATGATTGAAGATCAGATGAGTTTTGGGATGACACCAAGGACATCATCCACAAAGAAAGCAAAAGTTCATTACAAAGACAGCAAAGGAAGGAAAAACCAGAAAGGATGTGTGAGTAGAGACTCAGAAAACTGCACTAGAATGTAGAGATCCAAAACAAAGGGGAGAAATGCTGAGGTAAAGAGATAAACAGAAGATTTCAAAGGATAGCTCAAAAAGACAAAGCAAGTATTTTATGGAAATGTACAAAGAGATAGTTGTTGTTGTTGTTGTTGTTGTTAGGTGCCGTTGAGTTGCCTGCGACTCATAACGACCCTATGTACAACAGCCCTAAACTCCACTCTGTCCTGTGTCAATCACACAGTCTCTGACACTCCCATCCCAATTATCCCAATCACTGAATCAATGCACCTCATAGAGGGCCTTCCTCTCCTGCGCTGTCCCTCCACCCTCCCAAGCATGATGTCCCTCTCTAAGGACCGGTCTCTCCTCACAA